TTTAGAACTGAAGACTTACATTACTCTGATGAAGAACCTGGAGAACTCTGTTAACATTATTAAGAGCATGCACTCGAGTGGATCCCCGTTCTTTGGTCTGAAATTAAAAAAAGATCATACTGTAGATCAGAGTTAAAAGGAAGAATGACAACATATTTTTCAATAGCAGCTTAGTGTGTGAATGATTTACAACCAGGTAATGTCAACAGATGCAGAAAGAAGGGCAAATAATCTCTCAATACTGGTGGCTTGGCCATCTACCCGTTGAGAAACTTGACTGCAGTTTCAAATTGAACATCAATGACAAGTGCTTAGTCATATCCAGACTTAAACCAGAAATGTCCAAAGCTGAAGTGTCTGAAGGACCTCGTTCCAGCTCTCCTCCAGGTAAGCCAGCTCATTACTGCTTTAACTGGATCAATTTAACAGCTTTTCCTAGTTCTTCAGCTGATGGTTCTTAAAAGAAAATGTATAAACCTGCAGATAAACCAGCACTCCAGAGACTGGCTTCCCTTGACCTAATGATGGAAGCTTATCTGTTGCACCTGTTCCTAATGGGACTTTCAAACAGCAATGGAGACCGCAAAATTATATCTGGATACAGGATTGCCCATGTTGCACACATTTATGTCTTCAGACAGCTCAAGCTTCAGAGGACTTACTCTATATAGTCAGAACAATTTCAATATAATAGGATAAATTGGTCCCAGTACACAAGTCTGTATGAATGACTTTACTTTTTAAACTATTTTTCTCAAATTGAAAAAAAACAAAATCTCCTAACACTGCAGTTGACACGTGCATTCAAATTAGGCACAAGCAGTTATGCTTTGAAGCTAATGACACCTTTAGTCAATTGTAGTTTTCATGCACAAATTACCTATAATTTGAGAACCTGCTCAACTGGATGTATGAGAGGACTCATACTGGGGATTTTTAAATCATGTTTCAGTTGTTTATATGTTTTAATACTACTTCCAGTTTATGTGAAAGTATTTCTTGCTTGCAGGCCCAAAAACCACATTGAAAATGTTACATAAGATGCAAGTAGTTCCTTTTTAATAGGCATTTAAATGTATTTTAATAGAACACCTTTAATTTGTTCAACTCTATGGAAAAGGAATGTATTTAATTTTCCTGTGCCTCTCTGTATTTCAGACATCTGTTAGTACATATAGGTTTCTCTTCAAGTAAGGCGAGTGACAGTTGGTTTAAGACTTATGATGAGAATTTGCTCAGATCACTATCATATTATCAACAAAATTATCAAAACTTGGTCAATTAGGCTTTTTACCGATAACTTTATGTTTATTTGTTGGTTTTGTTATGAGGAATTAATTGTTCTGAATTGCTAAAGATAGTTTTCAAAGGGGTCAGACGTACTTAGATTATGACGTACTTTTGGACAATGCAGTTCTGTTTATTTTGGACAAAGTAAGTGCGTTAAGTAATAGGAGAAACAACATTCAGAAATTCAACATTGATCCACGCACTACCGGTTTTGCAGACCAGAGAAGAAAGTTGAACTGCGGTAACATTCAACACATCCTTACCAAAACACTCCCAGTGAGGCCTTCCAGGAGATCCAATAACTTTCTGCCATCCCTGAGGTCTGCAAACATGTCCTTGATCGGTGCTTTTCCACTCTAAAAATTAAATCATGTTAAAGACACTAAATGCTTCCCTCAGCAGTGCAAAACAAAAGCAATGCATTTTACAAAATAAAACATCTGCTTACAGGATAAAAAGATGGAAGAAAAATATAATTAGCTACTCCAACCAATAGCATAGCCCTCTTTTCTAGATTGAGAAGAAACAATCTTTCCCAAATGACTCATAAGCTCATTTATAGTGTATTATTGTGACAGTGTCTCTTAACCTTCAAAGTCAGGGCATTTTTGCAGTTCAGAGTGTAATTCTGTTTTCACTACCTCCCTTTATATCTTTTGGTTTAACATTCTGATAACTGTACAAACAGCTGCGTTGAAGTGGTGCTAAAAAGGTCTCCATAACAGCACGAGGCTTGTGACTCAAAATGAGCCATGCAAGTAGCTTTTGTCATGGAATCTTAACGCAGCGTGGAAGAAGTTCAGATGCAAAAAATGTTGAAACTATTGAATTATGATTCCTGCCACAGAAAGTGCACAGCTGCTCAAGGAAATCTTCATTTCGCATGAATATTAACAACAACGGCCTTGGCAAGCGTGCTTTGCCATCATGGATTGCTAGGGAGTTTTGAAAACTCCAATTTCAAAGTTTCCCAGTTTATTCTTTCAGTAGGATGCATTTTCTCATGGCCAGGGGATTGACAAAGACAAAAAAAGCACAGCTGTATGGGTTGTATTTAAGCGAGTAATTGCAGTAGGTTTAACAACCCTTCATTTGAAGCTTGTAAAAATGGTTATTGTTTCTGAAAATACAGAAATTATAGCAACTGGAACACAGGAACAGCCAGGAGCTTCCTCTGTATGGTTGTTTTGTTTTCTCAAGCACTGAAAAAGTCTTTGTAATGAAATAACTGACATAACAAGGTCATGTCAGGTACTCAAATAGGCCTGAGTCTTTTTTTCTATTCTTTGTGAAGCCATGGTTATGTTATTAACTGTACTGGCCAATCCATTTTATATATAACAGTACAATCCTATTTGTTTTGCATTTATCACAGCCCTTTGTGATAAAGGCCAATGAACACCCAAAAGAAAGAACTGAATGAATCCAGATCCATGGTCTCTACTGCAAATTACTGCACAAGGAGGAAGGATCAGCAGAATCGAGTGACAATTTATGGTCTTATATGAATGCATTTACAAATATTAACCGGTTCTTGCTTGATAATGACATGGTAAACAATTGAAGAAATAATTTATTTAATATGATGTGTTGAAAACTTCACCCCCTTGCAGTAAGCCTGACTTTTCGTGAAAAATACACAAAATAAAAACCCACACTAAATGGACCTATTCAAGCAATGATAAGCAAAGATAATGATGAAGTGTGCTTTTTCAAAAATAAGAGCAATGTGTGCATTGTGTTCTCTTCGCAGGCCATAAAATAATTCATGGCAGACCCCATTTCTTTAAGAGATTGGCACATTAGGGTGCTTAGAAATGCATATGAAAATTTTGTCAGTTTCCTGCCTTAAAGCAATTTCACATTAGTATAAAAATACTTGTTTCTCTGCCATGGGAAAAGAGCTGTGGGAATCTACCAAAGACTCTGGGGAAATACTATACTGTGGGATTAAACAGAAGTAAAAATAAACTAGAGTACACGAAAACTAAGACCTGAATCAAGAACAGGATTCCACTGCTTTGTTTGTACTATTTGATTGAACACCACACTGAACATTGAAGGATTATGGATCTGAACTGTACCTTGGAGAAGCGTGCATTGATCCATTTTGTAAAGGTTTTCTTCTGTACAGCATCGTGTTCATCTGTATCAAGAGCAAACAGTTTGTCAGTTTCATCGTTGTGGCCATGAGATAGCGCAGCATACGGTATGCTATAATGAACAGAGCCTCAGAGGTATACTATACAGTAACATTAGGCAAATCTTGGCAACTCCATCCAGTTTTTGACATAAAAGTAGGCCGATAGTGTATTGTAGACAACATTAAATACAACAGGTAGTGCATTGCTTTGCAGCCCACATTATGTAAATGTGCTGTGTATCCTAGAAGGAACAATGGTATTTGGGAGCATCCTATGGTGGCCTTTGGACCACCTTGTGTATTCACATCAACCTTTAAGTGAAAAGCCTTCAGGACCCATTGACGGTGAGCGTACCTGCCAACAAAAATATTTTTTTGCCTTTAAAGAGACAGTCCTGACAGGGGTGGGTATACAATATGCTACAGAAATAACGTATGAATGGAAAGAATGCAAAATGCTTCAAATGTCATGTACACAACTTTCTTGTCCAACTTTCAGGATACCTCATTGCTTCAAAACAAATGCCGTCACTGGGTGTTTGAAAAACCTATCAATCTTCTTTAAGACAAATGAAAAGGAAAATGTAATTAGTTACAGAGCACCTCTCACTTCTACCACAGGACAGACAGTTGTATTACAGAGGAAGGGCACCCAATTTGTTACATAGGCCTTTTCCAGCAAGTCAAATCTATTAAAAGCTGCCATGTAAGCTATGGTGAACTCACGGTCAAAGGCTACAAATACCATTCTTAGAGTTGTCTGCTCCTTTGTTTACGACTTCAGTGTGCAGCTTGGGAGGAATGCTGGAATAAAGGGAGGAATTTGCCTGTGGCTCTGGGGAGTGCTGGGTGTGAATGGGCCACAGCACCATCTCGCAAGCAATAAATATTACTGTTGGTCACAGTAAGGAAAATGCACTCAAACATAAGCACTGCAAATGTCCTGCCATTCTGTAAAAGAAGGACATTTGGAGGGAGGAAGAGGAATGACGGTACTATACAGTTCCACACCTAAACTTTCATTTCCTATCAAACTCTCATCAAGTTTCCTAAAGCAATTCTCAAAAAAAAATTATTGTTGATTTAGCATAACTCAACCTGCATGCGAGCCAGCAGCCATATCACCCTGCAGCTCACAACTGGCTACCCACTGAAGTTAAGCATGGTTGAGCCTGGTCAATACCTGGATGGGAGACCTCCTGGGAAACTATGGCTGCTGCTGGAAGTGGTGTTAGTGAGAACACTGGGGGCCCTCCACCCTGCAGTCTGTATGGGTCCTAATGCCCCAGTATAGTGGCGGATGAGATGTTAATTTCTCTATAAGAGTTATCCCGGTGTCTGGGCCAAATTTCCCACCTCGGCCTTTACCTTGGCCTCCAAAATCTCCCCATGTATGATTGGCTTGCACTTGCCCCTGCGAAGGACTGGTGCCCTGCCCAGGGTGTACCTTGCCTTGCGCTCGTTGCTTGCTGGGTTGGCTCTGACTTCCCGCAAGACCATATGGTATAAAGCAGTTTGGCAAATGACATGACTTGACAACCTGCATGCAGGCAATCATCATAACACAAAATCCTCAGGGCATCGGTTCTCAAGTACACTGCTAGACACAAATCTTTTCTTTTTCAAATAAAGAAAACAGCTGGGACTTATAGCATATACATATAGGGTCTAGAGATAACACGATAAATCTAATTCAGATACCACACTGGCTCAAAGATGTTTATTTTCCTTGGGGGAGCAACACAGATCTTTAGCAATTTGCGCTAACACAGGAAAATATGAAAAGAGTATAGCTCAAAACAAAAACTCATTTGAATGCAAACTGGATACATTAATTATTTTAATTTAATTCCACTGCACTTCCACTTTAATTCCAAAGCACATTCACAGAGAACACAGAAAATATTGTGCATAACTTCATCTTTTCATCAGCTATTACTGATCACATACTATTTCAAAGAAGTGCTTGGAAAATGTGGATTTTTAACAACCCAAGTTTTGTGAACAAAACAATTGTTCATTCTCATGTTGGCTAGAGCATCTTTGAATTTTCCCCTATTACACTGAAGGGTCTGGATGTATACATCTAGTAGAAAGCAAAAAAACATCAAGGGAATAAATGTGTCCATCACACTTTCTTCTGTAACATAAGATGAACTGACTGAATACTTTAATGTTTTCAGATTTCAGAAGTTACCAGGTAGACAAAAGACAGAATCCTTAAGTATTAAGGAATTAAAACTTTGTCTGCACTACCGTAGGATCCTAAATTCACAAAATCTGACAAATGATACTATATGACTAAATGACAAAATCTTTATGATACTATAGTGTTATCAACATTTGTGAACATCTTTATACAGTATGGACAATATCCAACAGTATCTTCTTCATCATCACTGCTGCAGAATAATGGAAAAGCTTCTTAACACTAAAAAAAAGGCTGAACAGTGACCACTCTAATGCTTGGAGAAACAAACACGGTCTCTTTGGATAAGCATCTGACTAAAAGTGGCTGTAATGTGGAAAATGAAAAGGAAAGCATGATTATATCAGGAAAGTAAATCCCAGAAGCCTCTTCACACAGTTCAGTGCACATGTAATGACCAGTTGTGTCAGCTAACAGCTGTTTTCGATGGGCTGTAGATCTGTAGCGGACAGAAGCGTCCTGTAAAAACACTGAGCACATTTCATTTTCAAGCAGATCAGCTTTCCAATGTTTGCCAATCAATAGGATGACTTATAACACTCTTTTTTCCTGTGCACTAAACCAGTAAATTCGCTCAAAGTACAACCAACAGATCAATCAATATATCTTTTCTCTTAAACTCATTACAATTATTATTTTTTTTACCAATTTCTAAGTTGCCTCATTTACAAAGTGTCTCAGGGAGATCTACATGAAACTACAAAAATGATCACATTACCTCTAAATGAATTAAAAGCCTGATTAGACAAAAACAAAATATGGGTCTTAGTTGCTGGCAGGGAAGTGATATGTCAAGGTAAAACTGCAGAGCTTCGGAGGTTCCAGAGGGAGGAAAGAAATAAAATATCAGACACCAAACTTTTATGTGCATTAAAACAGTAAAGAAAAGTAAGGAGAGCAACTGCTGAGCACAGAGCTCGGAAATATTATCAGAGCTCAGAAAAAGTCAAAGGAGCAAGGCCATACAAGACACTGAAAGTCAGCAAAGAGATTTGGTGAGCAATTCTCTTGAGAGACATGATGCCACAGAGGAACTGACAAACCAAGGGTTAGTACAAGGGCTAGTACTAGCGTTGGACAAACAAAACAATCTCAAAATTACCAGGGCAATCTTCTTCATAACCGAAATAAGCAAAATCTGCATTCAAACTTTTTACTATAAACATATGGGCCAAGGCAATAATTTTAAGGATTCGTGACTCAAAAGTCAGAAACAGGAAGAGATGCCACTGGGGTTTATGTTTTATTATGTATTTTTCTTTCCATAAAAATGCTCACCAATTGTTCCAAGATGCCTTACAGTACCTATTAAGGGGTGTTAGAGGTTCTGAACTCTTCCTATGTGGGATGTCAAGAATGTGCAGAATTCATATCACTCCAGAAACATTCCTTCAACTGAATGGACACTTGCCTAAGCATGTCCGTTGATATGCGTTTACACTTAAGAATCGGGGATTAGAACACAAGATCAAAAAACACTCCTTCTGTTTGTAAAGATTTAAATCATATCCCACTTAGGTAAAGCTAATTATTCATATCCTGTAATGTATGGCTTTCTAAATGATGACAGTGACAGAAATATAAACTGACTCTTCAGTCCACAGATACGTTCGTGCTTTGTATGCAAAAGATAAAGAAGCTTGTTAAAGGTACAATGTCAAGATAGGTACCATTATAAAGGAAGAATGAACAATTCTGTTTGAGCTATGACATGAAAAAAATTACAAACTATAAAACTATGTTTGAAAAAGTGCTTTCATGACGACATTTTCACAGTAAAATATCCTACTGAAACGGAGTCAGAACCACTGAAATTAAATTTATATTTTGATGTACATGTAGTACACATATTTAGCATGTGAACACAATTTAAAGTCTACTGCTCTTTGGGTACAGTTCAACTTAAAAGTTCACAGAAGACTGCAATCTGTTTCCCCTTTCCAACATTTAAAAAAATAAATGAAAAATATCATGTAGATGGAACACATAGAAGCTTTATCAGATATGCATGCTTAATTACTAATAATTTTAATTAATATATGAATATTAGAATCCTTAGCATTTGTTGCATTGTATGCCTCATGGTGTACATACCATTGCACACACTGGGTATGTACAATTTACAACCAGCAGTGTGGAAAGACAAGACAAAAGTGCCAGACCTGCCATCATTTTCCAACAAGATGATGTATAAAAAAAACAAGAAAAACTACATCTAATTTCAGTATGCACTGTTGATTTCTATCAGAAAATTTATACAGGTTATTTCATGGAGCACAGACTCAAAACGGTATAAAAAATAAATCCCATGTTCATCCTTCCATGGTCATTAGACGTATGTTGCTCTGATTACAGGTCCCTTTTCCCAGCAACATTCCTTTCTACTGATAATGAGAAGCAGATTCAAGAAATGGCTCTTATTTTAAAATACAAAGTTACCAAATTTAGAAAGACTTGAGATTAAAATTACAGTTTTTGATTGCTAAAAGTAGTGTTAGCAGAAAAGCTGCTTTTAGTTCTCAACTTTTTATTTGTCTAAGTCTTTCCACAAACGAAGAAACACTGCAGAAATAGTCAATATCATTTAACAAATTAATGCTGCATAGACTCCGTGAAAATAAATTATAAAAATAAATCCACAAACTATCAAGAAAAGGTCTCTAGTTCAGAGATTTATTAAATGTATGCTTTCATAGCACTCAGTTATGATTCCATTTTAAAATCTGAGAATTTTGTAAATTTCTGTAGTACAATCTAAGCACCAAAGAATCATATACAATTATTTCCTGTCATA